CCTCCAGAGGTCTCCAGAGAGACCTAACCTGAGCTGGAGCATGGAACAACGGAGGAAGAGTGACTGAGTTACTCTTCAGAAAGTGAGCAAGTGTCTCACACACACAGTAACAGCAGCCGCTACAGAAGAGCCTCAACAAAGTACTGGAAGTGGGGTTATAAACTTGCTTATAATCAACAATGCCAATGATAGCTACAATGTAGTTTTCATAAATCGATAGAAAAAAAAAGGCTATGCACTTGAATTTCACAGAGGAAATACAGAACAGCTCAATCGACCACTCCAGTCATGGGGACTGAAAACAGCAATCTCCTTTCTCCTATCAGATGGGCAGCGTGGTGAAGGAGATAATCCAGAGTTTGGCAAAGTGTGGGAGAAGCATTCTCAGTATTCACAAGAGGCAAACAGGGCGTGCACTTTTTTAGAAAAAAAATGGCAAGGTTTATCCAAATTTCAAAGGTCCTAAGCTCCAACTTTCATTTTGTATTTTAATTATGTAAACTTCTGAATGGCTCCAAAGTTAAATCTACAAAACAGAAGTCTGCCTGTCTACTTCACTCTTCTAACCAAGTAGCATGAAAAAAATGCACATATCTATCATTACACTTTAGGTTTCTTGTACATACATGTCTATCCTTACACCTTCCTTTTACGGAGCGGCATGCCACACACGTTTCCCACGTGATCCTGGTCCTGTGCGCTCCTGGCGCGTGCCATTACCTGTCCTTCCCTTTCGCAGCATGGCACACCACCAAAGAACCAGTGGTTCCACCAGCGCTCTGGTGACCAACCAGAGCACTGCACTGCCTGAAACGCCTTGCCACCGCATCCAGTGCCACAGTGTATCTTTGGTGCAAATTCCCAGAAGTGCCGATGCCTTGAGGGGTAAATGCAGATGCGATTTTGCTAGCTGCTGACAAATTTCCTTCCACAAGGGTTGTACCATTTTACATACCTACCAACAAGTTGGGTTTTTTTGTTTTGTTTTTTTTTTGGTCCGGTCGTGGGGCCTGAACTCTGGGCCTGGGCGCTGTCCCTCAGCTCTTCAGCTCAAGGCTAGTGCTCTACCACTTGAGCCACAGTGCCACTTCCGGCTTTTATCTTTTTGCTTATGTGGTGCTGAGGAATCGAACCCAAGGCCTCATGCATGCAAGGCAAGCGCTCTACCACTGAGCCACCTTCCCAGCCCTACCAACGAGTTCTTAATGCTTATTTTCCTGGGGATTCACAATAAAATATTACTTAACTCTTGGATTTCTGCCCATTTTACAGCTTTTACATTAAGGTGACTCAGTTTAGGAACAGCCAATTTAAATTATTAAATGACCCTGTTTTGGGCACAGAACACATGAAAGCAGTTCTCTGCAGTGACTGAGCTTCACAGAAGGGGTGAGTAGAACCAGGTTGTCAGTGGGGGTCTTGGTGCGTGGCTTATTTACTCTCATAGCCCCAGGGAGCCAGGTTGGGCACAGATAGCAAAGGAGCTAGGAGTGTTCCAGAGCAAAGAGAGAATGCAGCTTAGTGTTACCCTCCTGGGGCTGAGAGGGCGGGAGCTACAAGACACAGCTTCCATCCCACCCCCCAACCCCACCCCTGTGGTCTGCCCATACTTTTGTTAGTGTTTGCTCTAGACCTGAAAGGTTTCTACCCAGATGGAACTCACACTGAGACGAGACAGACAGACAACCATCTCAGACACAGACAAGGGCAAGAGGAAAGCAAAGTGGGATGTGGGAGTGGCGCTGTGCTGGTGATGCTCCAGGTGTGGGCAGGGAAGCCCAGGGGGAGCTAGGACCAGAGAAGCAGAGCCTGGGCTGAAGAGCTGGGCATACCACTGCCTGCGCACGAAGTCCACAACATTTCTTTAATAGTTCATGCAGCAAAAGTAAAAGCAAGAACATATACTTGATATTGTGCAACTCTGGGATTCTATGCAACAGGAAACTTGTCCCTATATGTTAGCTTTGTCTACTGCTCCCACAGCAGCCTCCACAACTCCAGACTCAGCAAGTGGTGCGAGAAAGGAATCTTTGGCCCACACACATCCTCAGGTGCTAAAGATGGACATTACTGGAAGACTTTCATGCGGTTAGGCCACCTGGGCAGGGGATTATACACAAAACCATTATGGTAAAGATAGGGATAGATGGAATAAGTGAGTATACATTTGGGTTCATGGGGCATGAACACTGAGCAACAGATACATGTTCAGGAGCCTGGCTCGAGCTTTTCTTCCTCAAACATGTGCCTGCTCTGGAGTGAAGAAGTCTGCATCTGTAGAGACGGACCCAGATCTGAATCTTGCCTGGCCACTGACTGGCTGAGTGTGAGCAGGCTCCTTCTGAAAGGAAGTGGGAGCTGGGCACAGAGGCTCACGCCTGAAATCCTAGCTACTCAGGAGGCTGAGATCTGAGGATTGCGGTTCAAAGCCAGCTTGGGCAGGAAAGGCCGTGAAACTCTTATCTCCAATTATCCATCAGAAAACTAGAAGTGGCACTGTGGCTCAAGTGATAGAGCACTCACCTTGAGCTGAAGAGCTGGGGGACAGTGCCCAGGACCAGAGTTCAAGCCCTATGACCAACAAGAAAAGAAAGAAAGTGGGGGCTAGGGGTACTATGCCTCAAGTGATAGAGTGCCAGCCTTGAGCGAAAAGTCTCAGAAGCAGCGTCAAGGCCCTGGATGCAAGTGCCAGTACCAACACACACCCATGCATGGACACCCACGCACGCGCACACACAGTCCTTAAAGGAAAGGTGATGATCAAAGCCTCCAGCAGGGCCATGGGGTGTTGAGTGGAGCCCAACAGGTCTGGCACTGTCTGTAGGCCCCTGGCTTTGAAGCTCTCACTAGCTCCATGCTGTGCCTCTATCTGAGAACCAGGGCTGCTAACGGCACTGTTACCTAAGTCTTAGCATCATTGTGGGGTACTGAGCAGTGATATCTCACCAAGGTTAGAACAGCACTTTGCACAAGAGCCTCCCCCAGGTCACTGTCAGCACCATCAAAGCCCTCCATCTTCCAAGAGATGGTGTCCCATGCAGACAGGACCTCCCTTGGAAAGGCTCTGTTATTGGCAGTCCCCAACCAGACCATGAGATCTGTCAGAGAAGTCCCTGACTTCTCTCCAATCAGGCCCTGCCACCTCCGAGCATCTCAGCTAGTCTGGACAGACAGCCAGTTTACCCCAGTCCCTCCTGTGCACTTCTGACCTGTCAAGCTTCCATTCGCCACACCTGACCCCTCTCCCGCCCCACTCCCCCGCCCCGTGTCTTCACTGCTTTGGAGAGATGTTCAGCACTGCTCATTAGATAAAATGCAAATTAAAATTGCTGATTTTTTTTGAGGGGGGAGCCAGCCCTGGGGTTTAACTCAGGGTCTGAACTCTGTCCCTGAACCTCTGAGGTTGGGCTCAAGGCTAACCCTCTACCACTGGAGCCACAGGGCCACTTCGGGCTTTTTCTAAGTAGTTTATTGGAGGTAAAGTCTTACAGACTTTCCTGTCCGGATTGGCTGTGAATCGCGATCCTCAGATCTCAGCTTCCTGAGTAGCTAGGATTTCAGGCGTGAGCCACTAGCACCCACCTCAGACATCATATTTCTTTCTTTTTATTCAAAAGCTAGTCCTGGAGCTTGAACTCAGGGCCTGGGTGCTATCCCTGAGCCTCTCTGTATTCAAGGCTAGCCCTCTACCAACTTGAAACACAGCGCCACTCCCGGCTCACATATCATTTTTTTAACTTACCAAATTCCCTGAGATCAAAAGCTTGATCGCAGGATCTTCTGATTCTCACATACTGGAGTGTAATACTCCACATAGAATATAATATCCATACCTCATGAATAACATACAGGAAATCCTATCAAGATTTAAAATACATATCTTTGGCTGGAGAGTGGTTCAAGTGGTAGAGTACCTGCCTAGCAAGCATGAGGCCCCGAGTTCAAATCCTAATACTGCCAAAATGTATGCATCTGTCTGTCTGTGTGTCTTAGAAACAAGACATGGAGCTTGGCACTGATGGCTCACACCTGTAATTCTAGCAACTCAGGAGACTGAGATCTGAGAATCATGGTTCAAAGTCAGCCCAGGCAGGAAAAGTCCGTGAGACTACAGCTTCAATAAACGACTTTCAGAAAAGGCTGGAAGTGGTGCTATGGCTGGAGTGGTAGAGCAATAGTCTTGAGCACAAAGAGGCTCAGGGACAGTGCCAGGCCCCAAGTTCCAGCCCCAGGACCAGCCAAAAGCAACAACAAACAAACAAAGAAACCAGATATGGTTGTGCATACCTGTAATCCTACAACTCAGAAAGGTAAGGATTGCTGAATTCTAGGTCAGCTGGGGCTATATAGTAAGACCTTATCTCAGAGAAAACCACAAAAAAAAAGAAAGAAAGAAGGGAAGGAAGGAAGGAAGGAAGGAAGGAAGGAAGAAGGAAGGAAGGAAGGAAGGAAGGAAGGAAGGAAGGAAGGAAGGAAGGAAGGAAAGAAGGAAAGAAGGAAAGA